AAATAAAATAAATTAAAAAAAAAGAATAGAGAAATTTGCAGTTGGGAAATTAGACCAAGAAATAGAGAGATAGGAGAGAAAAGGTTAAAAAAGGAATTAAGGAGCTTCAGAGATAGCTCAGCTTGCCCAAGCAAGTGCAAGGACCCAGGTACAACATGCCGTGTTGGCCCCGCCCCCATGGTACTAAGCCAGCTACCATGACCAGGCATGGTGTCTCATGCCTGTAGTCCCAGCACTGGGAAGTCTGAGACTAGAGGATCACTATGAGTCCAAGCTATGTAGTGAGACCCTGCACAAACTACAAAAAAAAGGAATATGAGGTGTGTGTGTGTGTGTGTGTATATGTATATATTCCCCATGATGAATGTAATTATTATGTAGTATAAACATGTACTAATAAAAATTTTAAAAATATTTTAAAGGATAATAAAGTAGTGGTCATATTCAGTATGACCAAAAAGATATAAAGAATTAGAAATATGTTGTACAGTTTTGATTAAGATGGTGTATACTTGAATTGTGATGGGGTTTTTTATTGAATATCTACGTCACACACAATGCTAAGTGCTGTACTACAGTTGATGGTTTTAAAAATGAGTTTACAAGGGGCGGGGGAGATGGCTCAGTAGAATAAGCACTTGCCTGGCAAGCACAAAGGCCTGAGTTCAATCTCCATTTCTGCAAATAAATAAATAAATAAATAAATAAATAAATAAATATGAGTTCACAGGTTTAAGACCTGTGGTATAAATATCCTTGTATCATTTGTCGATTATTCAAAATGCCTTTCTTTTGAAAAATTGTAACAGTGCGAAGTTAACCTACAAAGAGACCCTAAAAAGCAGTATTTCTTTCCCAGTGTTTATTCTCCTGGGAAACTCTTATAAAAAATAAATAGATAGTTATATAATAAGAAAACCAAGAGTGGGAGCCAAGGAGATAGCACAGTGGAATAAGTGCTTGCCTGGCAAATGCAAGGTTGAGTTCGATCCCTGGTACCACCAAAAAAAAAGAAAACTTCTATATGATTAAGTTAAGAATCCTCTATATGATTTAAGTGTTGATAACAAGTCAGTCACTTACATTTAAACCATATAAAAATTGTATTGGTGTTTCTTGTCAGTTACATATTTGAAGAAACTACATAATTTTTTATTTAGTAGTGGTAAACCAGAAACTAAAAGTTCCTTAGAAGAATTGGAGAGATATGAAAAGAATAAGGCAGAGAACATCCTCCTCATCCTATGAATCTTATCCCTTCGCCCACGTTCTGTGATCAAAGGAAAAGTCTTCATAAAATTAAAACTTGTTTTCTTCTCATTTAGTATCTGTCTCACTCACAGTAATTGTTACATGATAGTGAAGGGTAATTTGAAAGGGTCAGAATTTTTGCAAGATAATTGCAATAGTTACAATTTACACTAAATGATAACATTGACCTAATGTAGAAATATGTCATACAATTAAGTCAACAGAAATTGTATTTCTTTTACATGAAAATGATTGAGAGTGGGTGAGTACAGTAGCATGTGCCTGTACTCCTAGTATGTGTGAGGCTAAGACAGTTTGATCATTGACAGTTCAAGGCCAGCCTGAACTAAATAGTAAGACCTTGTCTCAAAGAAAACAGCAAGGAAAAAGGGAAGGGAAAATTGGACAGAAGGAAAGGACAGAATGAAGGAAGAAAGGAAGGAAGAAATTCAGGAAAATTAAGAGATCTAGATAGCTACCATTTGCTTTTCATCCATTTAACTCATCTTTGAGAACTGAATAAATGTTATAGCAACAGCAAGTATGATTCACCTTGTGTGGAGGTGTTAGTGAAGTGGATACTTCATATAGGGTAGCAGGAAAAACAAGAGCGGTAGGAGAGCAGTGCTATGATTGTATTACTGATAACATGCATATTTTTCTCTGTGTGTAGGAAACATCCTATAAATTTGTAGATAGAAAAGAGTGAAAAAACTGTACTTTCGATTTGATTTGAAACTGTCTCATTGCTATATGTTTATCAATAAAACTTTGAAAAAAAAAAAGTGAAAAAGCCAAGTCATCACGTTGAAATGGTAGAAGAAATAGTAGTCATTCTTAAAATGAAACTTTAATTCTTAACTGTTTTCTTTTTCTTTTGCTTTTTTTTTTTCTTTTTTTGGCAAAACCGGGGATTGAACTCAGGCTCTTGCACTTGCCAGGCAAGTGCTTATTCTACTGAGCTGTCTTACTGGCCCCTGTGTTTTATTTTATCTGTCAACTAGTTTTTGCATTCTTATCAGTGACTGTATTTTGGTACTTAAGTGTCAGTAAGACAATTGTTTAGCATTTCTATTACTCATGCCTGAATTTTCAGTTTATTCTGGAAGGTTTTTCAGATTTACAGAAGAATTCCTCGTTAAAGTATAGCTACCTTGGTGTGGTTATCCTTTAAGCCATTATCAAATAACTCTCTAGTCAAAAGTCTGTTGTTATACTGATAACCATTATATGCAAGGAACAGAGGAGCCTTGATTGGAAGGGAGGAGGAAAAAGGTATTCATTTATGGAACAACAAGAAGTAGGCATTAAAATAACAAATACTTTTATGGGAAAAGAGTATTTGTAATAAGTAATAAAGGAATTTTATTTTTATTTTGGATTTTATGTTAAAGGAATACTTTTTGATGAAATAGTTTCAAAGATGAAGGATACAGTTTAGTGAGGGTTGGGAAAGGCTATTCCATTTCCTGAGGCAGAGGTTGAGGGTTAGAGAAAAGGCAAAATGAATGTGTGGTGGCTTGTGTGGTGAGTAGTTAAGCACTACTTCCTCCCCAGTGGCACTCTTGTATTTACTACTGTTTTTTTCTTTCAAAGCAATGATGCTTTTTGCAGATATATAAAATAGAAGCGTAAGAACATGAAACTGCTCTAGTTGAATACAGCTCTCTTTCACAGCTCCTTTTTGTTTCCCTTGCCTTCCACTGTCCTTTAGATACCACTTCGTATCCCTAAGACTTCCTCAGCAGTTTGGAGAGAAAACAGGTAGAATGGACTGGACTCAATAGAAAATGTGAAACAGTTTCATTGTAACTTAAAGGAACAGGAAGTATTATATAACCATCTTTGATTACAGGGCCATCCCATAGTATAGGCATCCTGACAGTTGTCACATTACTGCTGATTAATGAATCTTGATTAAAGCCATATGTTATGAATTATGCTCGGGGCTGGGGAGCACTTCCCTGGCAAGTTCAAGGGCCTGAGTTCAATC